GTAGATAATTTTCCTTCTCAATATCAATGTACTTTTTGCTGAGGAAACTATCACTATTATCATTCATGAAGCAGTAAAAGTAAGATAAAGTAACGACTATAACTTTTTTAGGGTTCGTTCGTGGTAAGTGTCAAAGCCATGGACTATGATCCACTATCATCGGATGACATGATAGACAGATACGAAAAGAAAGTCACTGTCATTCCTAGTTCATGGACTTCCTCCAAGAATTGGCGGGAAATCACTTTGGGTGGTAACCCGTCTACGACTGTTTTGCAATACACAGTCCAGTGCAGCCAAGATTATTATGGTCCTAGTTGTACCACGCTTTGTATAGAGCGCGATGACAACATAGCAGGTCATTACACGTGCGATAAAACTACTGGTCATAAGGTTTGCCGCGTTGGATGGTATGGTGCCAGCTGTAAGGTATACTGTATACCTCACGATGACAACACAAACGGACACTACACATGCGAGCCAGGGACAGGAAGAAAGATTTGTCGTCATGGATGGTATGGACTCAGCTGTAAGGTACACTGTGTCCCAAGGAATGACTCGCTGGCGGGTTATAATTGCGATTCCCAGGGACAAAAAAATTGTTTGCATAACTGGTATGGCAAAAATAAATGTACTGTTTATTGCAAACAGACCAACGATTCTAAGGCTGGCTACATGTGTGACTCAAATGGAAACAGGATGTGTTTACAAGGCTGGTATGGACCTTCATGCGATTGCAAAGCAAAGAACGACTCTTCCATGGGTTACACCTGTAATATTACAACCGGAAGAAGAATCTGCCTTGAGGGATGGTTCGGCGACTATTGTGACATTTTCTGTACCCCAAGAAATGATTCAGCAGGTCATTACATTTGCAACAGTGGCACTGGAGCTAAAGAGTGTCTGCTCAACTGGTATGGAGAAAACTGTACTGTTTACTGCCAATCCAGGAATAATTCTATTGGTCAGCACGAGTGCACTGTAAATGGGAGTAAGCTGTGTGCACGTAACTGGTATGGACCCAACTGCACAATTTATTGCGCCTTAAGAGATGATCAGACGGGTCACTTCACTTGTCACCCAAAGACAGGACGGATGATTTGTAATCCGGGCTGGTATGGTGGCAATTGTACTACTTTCTGCGTTCCTCAAGATAGTGATTGGTATGGGCATTACAATTGTAACAAGATCGATGGAAGTAAGATGTGTCATAGTAACTGGTATGGAGCTCAGTGCTCTACCTTCTGTTCTCCTCAAAATAACTCGGACGGGCATTACAAGTGCGATAAGAGAAATGGCAGCAAGATTTGCCTGGATAACTGGTATGGAACCGAGTGCAAATCTTTTTGCAAGGCAACAAACAATTCAGAAGGACACTACCGTTGTGCGATAGAGGACGGGACCAAGATTTGTGACCGGAGCTGGTTTGGACAAAACTGCACCATTTATTGCACAGCGAGAAATGACTCTCAAGGGCATTACGTATGCGATCCTCGCGACGGTAGCAAGATGTGTCACCAGGGCTGGTTTGGTCGAAATTGCTCAACGCATTGTGTACCCAGCAACAACTCTAAGGGACATTACGACTGTGGGTCTGAGGAAGGTACAAAGATATGTCACCAAACTTGGTATGGCCCTAACTGCTCCATTAATTGTATCCCTAGGGAAGACTCCGTCGGCCACTATAGTTGTGATGCCACCAATGGAAGCAAGGTATGTAACTTGCATTGGTATGGACCTAACTGCACTGCATTTTGCAAGGCGCAAAACAACAACGAAGGGCATTACACGTGTGAGGAGGACACCGGCCAAAAACTGTGTTTGAAAGGTTGGCAAGGAGAAGCGTGTCTTCAAAGTAAGTGTACTGAGTTGTGAATGTTTTCTTTTCCTTTTTCATTGATCATCCGGTCAACCCACAAAATGCAGTTAGAAAGTGTTTGGATAAAATGACTCGAAAAAATGTCGCAAAATGAATAAGTTAAAGTAAGAGTAGTTGCTGAACTTTATTTTCTTTTTATTTTTAAGGAGTTACATCTACTTCTCACCCATCTGTAAGGACTCCTACGTCATTGTCGTCTTTCCCGACCGAAAAGAAAACCACAGACCACATTATTACGACTGCGTTCTTCCCTCAGACCGAGATGTCAACTACGGAGTCGACTGAAGAAAATAGCGCTGTGGAAAAGGAAAGTAGAAAGGCAGATGAGGAAGGATGGTTGACTAAAACGCGGATCGGTTTGATCACTGGAGGCTTTGCTTTACTACTGTGTATATGTGCCATAATTATGATAGCTATGCTAAGGTCAGTATCTCCATGCAGAAATCACGTGCATGTTTCATTTTGTACAAATTACCTGTTAGATTCGGATCTAATGAAAAGGGAGAGATTCCTTAGGTGTCTAGCCTAAGCTAACCAAACTAATCCGGAAATTTGGGATTAAAATATCATGAAATGCGCGTATTTTTTGTGATTCACATTAAAAAGCACGACTGTTTAGATACCTTTTCGGATGATTTTAGAGTTATTCTGAAAGAAGAGCCTTCCCAATTTGCCGTATTCATTGGACTTGAGGAACGAACCGGGAACAAACCAAAGGTTTGACCAGCGAGTTCAGTAAGAACAAGGTCCAAGTGTCCGCGTACATATTTCCTATTTCAGTTTAACTGTGTATTAAGGAATTTGAGTTCATTCAGGCTTCTTTTGTTCAACCTCAGTTGCAGGCCTAAAGCCAAGCGAGTTCCCTATTTTAGACAAAAAAATGAAACACGGAAGCATTCATCAGAAAGACGAGCAAGTGGTAGAGTAAACCCATTAGCAGACGATATCCTGACGCAATATGAAATGAACGAAATGTTCTTCAAGGTTCAACAAGTCTCTTGGTGAGTTTCTTTCTCTGCTAAAAAGGACTGGATTGATTTTTGGTGACTGGAATCTCCCTTATGTTGGATGAGTAATGCAATTTATACATGTTGAAGAGTATGATCGTGTTTGACTTAAAATTCTTTTTTTTTTTTCATGCAGAACACATACATATGATAAAAACAACTTAAGGTCACCCTGTAACTTAAATAAACTATTCTCGTTCTGATGAAGTAAAATAAAGATAACTTTAACTTTTCTTCAAGAAACGCAAAAATTCGCAATAAACGGAAAGTTCAAGGCCTACTTCGGTGAGAAAAAGGTATAAGCTTTACATCAAACAATTTGATACCATCTGTTTTTTATGATAACTGGAGGTAAACCAATTAGTTTTTGTTTTTCTGTTTATTGCACCAATGGTCTCTTTAAATTCAAAGACATCTTTGCACCTTGCAGAAATAAACTCAGGTTGTCATAATTTGGGTGTTTTCAAAGAACTCTTAAGCCACTCGAATCTTTTGAGAATATTTGGTGAAGACTGATTTGACTATTCATTTTTTTTCCTTGTGTAGGATTGAAGACGGCTCAAGACAAGTAGACGACCACCTGGTGATGTACAATAATCCACTTTTTGCTCCACGAAAACAAAAACCCAAGTGCGGTACCAGTGACAAACAACTAAAACTTGACAATGATTGGAATGTTGTGTTTGATTTGTGAACAAAATGGTAAAATTGACAAGTTGACAGAAGTTGTAAATTTAATTCCATATGAAATCGAGCTTCAGGTATAAAAATAGCCGTAAAGGCGGACAAGTGACACCAGGAAACAGACTGCTCTTATGTATAATAAAATCACTGGTGAGATTTCATACAAATGAAAGGTCAGAAAATTGCGTCTGAAAATTGCTCATCTACGAGTCGAAATTTCATTATGAGGGGCTGAACGTGCCTTTGATCTGAGATTCTAGATTACAACCTTGTAGACGAATCTCTTTTTTTCGTCAAAAATGTCTGAAATTTCTTCGCAGTGAGAACTCAGGCCGCAGGAGCTACGCTAACCTGTCAACACATTTATTTATAAATCAATTTACATTTCCGTTTGTTTGGTCATTAGGAAGTTTCGAGACCACTGTTGCAGATCTTGAAGTAACCAGACTCTTCATGTTATAAAGTCTGGAATTGGCTATTGGTCTCATAAAATCGGGTCCACCCGTGATTTTAGGATGAGTACTCTCTGCTACTTGAGTGCTTGAATCCTGCGGGGATCTAAAACTAATTATACATCTATTGTGGAAGAAATTAAAGAATGCTTTTTTTTTTTAGGAAGGATTCGTTTTCAATCAGTCAAGTTTAAGGAGTGTTAAGCCGGAATTCTTTGAGAATTCTCTAGAAGTTGTATTTGTTTACCAAAGCATATCAACTACTCTTTCAGCACTCAACTTTTGGAGCGATCTTTTCAATATCCATTTACTATAAACGGATGAACACCTTGTAACAAGAGGAGAGGCATTAAACATAGGCCAGGAGCTCATTAATGGGCTCTTGCATTGGCTTAGTTCCATTTAATCTTCCAGAAATGGGGTATTACTAAATAGTGGATTAGCGGACGGTAGAACCTCCGGAACCCATGTTTCTCTGTGAAAGAAAAGTAATCAGATAAACAAGAAACTAAAAAGACTCTAACACTGTCTGAAAGTTCGTTTTCGGGTATAAACAAGAATGCTTTAAAAGAGAAATATGTTGTAACCGTCCTTGACGTCCGACTCCAATTGTAGCGACATTCACAGTACTAGTACAAGGGTATGTAAGATCATTAGGAGCAATCAGCAGTCACCTACCCTGAGTGATGATAATTGAACAATAATTTAAAAGCTCGAACAGTTTGGGTACCGCGGTATCTGAACAACCCCTCATCCGAAGGATATCAGCAAACTTTTAGGCTGGAATCTAGAACAGTATTCGGGTGCTTTTAGTTTTTATTATAATTTTTTTGATGAAAATTAATAGTTCTGCAGGTTCCTTAAGTTCTGCCGGTTCCATTCATTCCAGTGGTTCCGCGGTGTACTCATCTTCAAATTAGTAACACTCCCAGAAATGCCGAACAAGATCTCCACACCTATATAATCCAAGCGTGAACTATTGGAGTTCATTTCAGCGGGTGTGCCGACACAGCCCTGTTTAAGTTGTTGTTCGGTTTCCAGATACAGATCCTTACTAAGTGCCAACGCCGAGCGATAGAAAACGGAAAATGAAGTTACTTCCACTGCTATCAGCTGCGGCGATGATGCTTTTCTTTGTGGTAAGTCCTTTCAGTTACGCTGCATAAACAACTATGCCTTAAAGGAGGTGTAGTTGATGGAAACTGCTGGAAAGTGAATTAAAAAAGGTTCCAATCTTTGTTTCGTGGCCAATGAAATATAAGGCTAGGGAAAAGATAAAACCAAGCCTCGCGCCAGGTTAATGATTTAATCATGATTTTGTTGTGGGATCTCTGATCAACTGAACAACAACGAACTCGATGGCGGTGGTTACTAGAGCATGGAATGGCTTAAATCCACCTAAAAGCAGCTACAACCACCTAAAACCACCTAAAACCACTTGAAACCACCTACAACCACCTTCAGAATACTATTTTAAACATTTTGAAGCATTTTTGTGACAATTTTGTTGACAAATATAAATAACCACGGGAAATGTTGTCTTGTTTCGCGGGTCCCCGTCGACAGCGAAAACTAAAACCCCTGAAAATTAAGTCACTGTGCGCGACCTTTGTCTATCCAATGGCTCGCATGACCGGGGAAAAACACAAGTCAAATTGTTTACACCAAGAGCATTGACCCTTTTCGAGTAATACATAGACTACGTTTTAGAGGTCTGCTTTTTTCAATGTCTGACAAGGGTGAACGGGACACCAAGCAGGTAGTCGAAAATTTGATGAGGTTACGTAATATAACATCAGGGGTGATGTGTTTAAAGAAAACCCGAGCAACCCTAACCATCTGAAATTGCTTCAAATCGGGCTGTGGAGCGAGCGTACAAGAAAAAAAACAAAACAGTTTTATAGTGAGTTGGTATTACTCAGAGAAAAAAATTAAATTGACTGAGAATAGGAAACCACGAAAAGAACAATGACATTTGAAACGATGTGTGAGAAACAGAACTTTCAAATCTCGCGATATTCATGTAGCTTACAAATTTCCTTAAATTACCGCACTTAAAAGCAGCATTCTTACGAGTCCCAAACGCGAAATAGATCGAGCTCTCATAACCTACGACATGCTGGCATTAATTTGTTCCGATTCTAGCTCTCGGTTTACCCGGCAGAGGCTTTTCATGCGGGTTTCGGGCTTCGGTTAGTCTTTACTTTGACCCACGCGAAAGCCTCTGGAACAGTCACTGACCAGTTCTATCGACCCGATGGCTTTCGTACTTGGGCCACGTAGGTTCTTATATACTACGTATTTCTCGTCGTTAGTTTACGGAAGGCGCTGGCTAAAGAGTGAGAGGATTCTCTGAAATTATTCAAATTCAATTGTTTGCTTTGTGCAGTGCTCCTCCGTGGCACGTCCAAAACGGGCCGTTTTTGAATTTGAAATTAAATAAATTGAATCGCTGGAATCTTCTTTCAGACTCAAACGGACCTTTGGACCTCTTTTTGTTACAAAGGTATGGCATGAATACAGATGTATCCGCTTTAGGTTACTTCCCACCTTAATGGGCCGGAAAAAGGGGTTTTTCTCTTACTAGACAAAACTGACTTCAAACATTTTACCTAACGTTTCCAAGAAAAAAATTTTAAAAATCTCCTAAAGCTCTAAAAGTTATTTTAAAAAACGTAATTTCAGATGAAAGCTAGTAAGTCAAGAAGGTGTCATAATCTCGAACCTGGACGAATTCCTTGGAGGAAATTTTCACGGCAAGCTCGTTTTTCATGTTATTTGCATCGCGCACCCGACAAAATTCACATATGGAAGCTCTCTGCTCGGGGAAAAATCTCTTCTCATGGAAAAATCAAAGGAAGAAGAATTTCCATGGTAAAAAAAAAAGAAAGAATACCATTCTATCAAGAAAAGAAAAAAACCCTCGGTGAAAGCGACTGGTACTGGCGGAGTCCAGATTTCGAACAAAGAAGTCGCGTCATAAACAAAAATTGTCATACTTAAAGTCAAAAACGAGTTTTCCTTTTATTTTTGCAAGAAACTAGCACTTGTCTTACTTTTCAAGCTAGCGGCTGCAGCGAAACTGAAAAATCACATTAGAGGATAATTTTATTTTCACGAGCAGAAGACTCGCCAAGTAATTAATGAATCTATCAGGTTTCAAGTGGTAATTTGCATGAATATCGGCAAACAGCAAACTCCTGAACTTCCAAGGGTTTCCCCGCAAATAGGAGTAATCTCGTCCTCATAGTGAACGTGAACGAACGAGCATATTTCCGCGCCTAATGGAGGCTATTCTGTTTATTATCCTTCCAATATTTTTGCAAATTTTGGGTTAAGAAATGTTTATGAACAGCTAATCGTTCACTGCGTGGAATGTTCACTTTTCAGCGTTCCCTGCTACGATTTTATAAACAAACAAAACATGTCCCCTCTTTTATTACAACCACAAAACGCTCTCTCATCACATTTTAACTTTAAAAGAAGACTTATCGTAATGGACGTAGAGCTCGAAAATCATCGGGAATATCGATCACTTATAGACGCATCGCGTTGACAGGTATTCCTCAGCTAAACTGGGGGAATATCCGAGGATATCACTCAAGTGATATTCCCCAATTTTCAAACCTTACGTTCACTACGATAAGTCTTCGTTTAAAATTTAATTAATGACGAGAGAGCGTTTCATTGTTGTTACGGAAGAATTGTTCATTAAGTCGCACCAGAGAACACTCAAACAACACACCCCACGCAGAAAACAGTAAGCTGCTCGTACACATTCTTTTCACACGCTTTGCAAAATATTTGAAAGATAAGAAATATGCTGGTATATTTGTTCTTGGTCATAATCTGTTTCTTGAAGCTCACTTCTTTCCATGCCATCAGATTTTTTTGTTCCTTGAATTTTGCCTCTGAACGTTTTTGAACGTGGATATCGATACAAATATGTTCTTCATTACAAAAAGTAATTCTAAAACAAGGAAAAACATTTTTAAAATTATCATTTTCAATAACATGGTCATAGACTGACCGCAAGTCACTTGAAAAGATCGGTACAGAGCAGAAATTGATCTGGAAAAGCGTCTGAAAAATGAAGATGTTAAAAGGAAGGTGAGTTGTACTGGCTGACTCACGCCGTGACCAGTCAGCAGTCATCTCACGCATACTTCAACACACTTTTACCCATTTTCTCTACGAGTTTTGTACTATTAATTTAAATGTTTAATCTGTTGATTCACACTGATCCTGACATCAGCTCAAACTCTGCACTCTTCCTTTTCTAAAGAATGTTAACATAACAATGAATTTTACTCCATCTCACTTCTTTACACTTTCCATCTCCATCTTCATCTTAGAAAGCCACCGAGTAGAGCTCGAAAGGGTCGTTTAAATCAATTGTTTTCCATTTGTTACAGATGTCGTGTGAAGGGAGTGGACGTGTGGTCGTGACCCTAAAATATTACAAAAATCCTTCTCACAGGACCTACGAATTCAAATGCTGTGACGCTGGGTTATTTGGTTGCTCTGGTGGATGTGAAGCATATTTCAAAATTTGTGTGACAAAGTCAGCCTCCGCCAATACGCATTCCTGTAACATGGGAACTACACAGACTGCAGTCATTGGCAACAGGGATGATCATAGACTAAATTTAAGAAAAGAGTTCGCATTCACATCCTTACAAGTAAGCTATAAAATTTTGCGATTTTGTTTGCCTAGTGCACTGGCAAAATTTGTTTTGCTCCATGTCCAAAAATATCGGCAAAATTTGTCAATCGTGGGCGCTCTGAAAAGTAGGAAAAAATTGTTGACGACCGAGTGTCAACCACATCGATGTAAAAATTGAGCAGAACTTAGACTTGGAGATTCAGCCTGAACGTAAGATTGGACGCCATGATAGTTTTTTTCTGAGTATCCTGAGTACTGATCATCATGCAGAATCTTCCATCTTCACCGATTGATTGCCGCGTAAAAATCAAATCTTTTCTCCTTCAAATCGTGGTTTTTAAATTGAAAAAAGTTGTCAGATTTCACGCCTGACCAAAAATTTGTACTGCTCTGAGGTAGGACGACAGCGCCTATGTTGATTGGTAGGTCTTGACAAAATTTGATTGGATAAAAAAATCACCGGGCGCACTTGTCTCACGGGACTGATGACAGATTTTTTGGCAAAATAAACAAAAATTTGCCAAGTGCGTCATTCTACAGCCAAAGCATCCGCATGTTTGCCCTTAAAACACTCACATAGGTTTGAGTACTTATAATGGACTGTGTGTATTTGTGAATGTAAGAGATTGTTTACTAATACAGAAATTACTTTCTCCAAAGGAATTCGTTAATTTGAAGATGCAAGTCTGGGACCATGACAAAATTCTTAAAGATGACTTAGTGGAGACGTTTTTTAGCTCGAATAAACCTTGGTTGCCTAACCATGGCCATCAGAAAAAGACCATACGACATAAGAGCAGGGTTGTTCAGTTGACACTTGACCTCGAGGTATACTGCAACAAGAACTACTACGGCCCTCACTGCACAAAGCAGTGTGTCCCAGGAAAAACCTACACGTGTGGATTGCTGGGAGAAAAGGTTTGCCGAGCTAACTGGTATGGTAAGAGCTGCACTGGGGAGTGTATCCCGCGGGATGACTGGAGGGGACACTACACCTGCGATAAAATGGGGAAAAAGGTCTGTAGATCAAGTTATTATGGAGAGAGCTGCACTCGATGGTGTGCCCCTCGAGATGACCCGCGAGATGGACATTTCAACTGTGATAGGCAGGGAAACAAAATCTGTCTTCCTCGTTGGGAAGGGCCATCCTGTAAACGATGCGTGAAAAACTGGTTTGGTCCTGGTTGTTCTACACACTGTGTACCTCAAGACAGTTACGAGCTTGGACATTACAAGTAAGTTGTTCCATATGCAGTTTGCACAAATGTGCAAGGTATTTCAAGGCGTTTTTTATTGTCCTTGTTAATGCTCATGAGAAAGAGATCCAAAGTCAAAAATATCTGAGACGAAAAAAAATTAGCTACCTAAAAAGTAGTTTAGCCACTGTTAGTAATGGGTTCGTTCGGTTGTTTGGGAAAACAGGTCAGTAGTATTGTTCCCAGTTTTATACATTACGCTTTCTTAGACACCAAAGATTGCATTTACCTCTACAGATGCAGCCAATCAGATGGAACGAAACAATGCCTACCGTGGTGGTTTGGTAGCGACTGCAAGGCGCACTGCATTCCTCATGACGATGATGACAACGGCCATTATAGCTGTGCACGTGAGGGAAATAAGACATGCCATGACGGATGGCACGGAGAGAACTGCACAGTGTTTTGCATTCCTCAAGATGATGACATACGAGGCCACTATACTTGTGACGAGGAAGGCGGCAAAGTCTGTTTAAACGGGTATCGCTCTCCAGACTGCATGGACTGCCTCCTGGGTTTGTATGGCGCAAATTGTTCTTTATCCTGCTTGGTAAATGACACGTACGGCTTCCAGCAAGGCTACATCTATTGTTCTGACGATGGAGTTAAGCAATGCAAGAAGTGGTGGCATGGCCCAGAGTGTCTCCAGTATTGTGTCCCTCATGATGACAACGAGCACGGGCATTACACGTGCAAGCCAAGAGATGGAAGTAAAGTGTGCAGACCTGGCTGGGAAGGGCTAAGCTGTCTTAATCGAAAAAAGAACTGAGCATGCAGTTTTGACAGAGAAGTCAGTAGATTAACATGTAGCATGAACTTTTTGCAGGAGGTATTCTGCGGAATAACAATTTTTTTTTCATATCAATTTTTTTCTATTTTTGTTGTTTTTCAGTTGTTTTTGTTTCTCTGATATAAAACACATTTGTACTGTAGTATCGCACTTTTTAAAATGTTATCTCTCATAATTAGAGATTATTACGCCGTATGTTTAAACAAGTAAGGGTATTGTTACGTGATTCTAGATGTGTTATTACGATTTCGTAACACCAGTATGTTGTTAAGACAGGAGGCTAACTTGTCGTGATAGCCAATGACCTATCGTGCGTAAATATAGTTTTAACTGTTAATTGCTGTCTATTGTAAACAGTGGCCGGCAAGTGACAAAATGTGTCAAAAAACATATTTTGACTAGAAACTAAAAGCAGCAAATACGTCCAAAAATAACCATTTCTGCACTTCGTTATCTTTTCATTGTATTGTTTTTTTTATCTAACCATGATGCAAATAAAGCACATATTTTTCACTCTTACGTCCCTTTCATCTGTTCCTTTTTTTATCACGTGTTGACAGGAGCTCATTGGTGTTGATAACCTTTGCGGTCTAATTGGCTTATGGGCAGACACGAAAAAATATCACGGGTGGTATATTATGAAACTCATCGCAGTCATGAGTTGTGAGCCATCAAATTATCTCTGTTCTGCGAGTTTTCCTTTATTTCTCTGCATTATACCTTTTGTTAAAACTCTCTATCTCTACAGCCCACGATGGAGGGATATGAGCTGAATGTCAGGAAACTGGGCTCCAGCTGCGTGTTCCAGGGGGGAGGGGGAGGGAGAAATTCTTCTATGAAATCAGACTTTTGATTGGCAGTTACATTATTAATCAGTTATTTCCAAAAAGGTGAAGCCTCTAACAATATCCCCGAGAATGAGTCTAAAATTTCAAATATCTAGAGGTACCTCAAAGTAGTGCAAGATGCACCCCCTACCCCTTAAATGTTTTTTTTTTTTGATGCTCCGCTCTCCCCTTCCTCCCCACTTCAGGGCGTATGTCATGTTTGCTCAAACGTAGCAGTATCCAAAATAATCTAGGCTTTTGGCCATGAGTCAATAATTCGATATCTGATCGTCTAAAAAAATAGGGGCAATTTCATGCCTAAGGCTCTATGCAGCATTGGGGTCCACTGTCAACGAATGTTAAAAAATTCGGCTGAAACAACGATACACAAGTAACAGAACGACGATACACAAGTAGCAGTCTCACTATATTGCCACTGGTACCATATAATTGAAGTTATATCTTGAACAATTTACGAAATGCTCCTCTGGTTTGTTGGCGCTGTGGCTGGGATTTTGACCTTCATGGTAAGTGCTTTTGAACATTTTGCTTCTGCTTCATTTGTGTTAAACATGAGCTCAGCGCGCGGGCAGCCAATCCACAACGAATACTTTTAACGAGACTCGCCAAAACAAAAAGAACGAAGAAAACCTCCATGGAAAGCCAAGTGACATTTGAGACTAACGAGCAGGAAAATTATAACATAATGTAGAAGGAAGTCTTGGCATACTAATGTTCCAGGGTAAACAAATATCATACAAATGAGAAAAGTAAAAGAGAAAAACAAAGTTGACTAAACAAGGCAATAAGAATTCTAAAATTACTGATTTACCTGGATGACTGGTATGGAACCGAGTGCAAATCATTTTGAAAGGCAACAAACAATTCAGAAGGACACTACCGGTCGAGCTGAAAAGGAAGATTTTCTTCGTGAGCGCGGAAGGTTTTCCTATCATCACCGGAAATCCTATTATTTCTCGGCGGCGTGAGCTGTGGGAGGAGATGAAAACGAGACTGTGTTGACCTACTCTCCGTTCGCTAAAGGAAATATCAAGTCAGGTTGTGGAAGTCTGTGGCAATTCCACTATAAATTCAATTTCTTGTCTCAGATCGCGCGATTCGTTATCAAGTTCATATATTATGCAGTCGTTGATTATATCCAGAGCTCTCATTAGTTCAGTGCTGATCCATCAATCTATTCGGGTAGTCTCGCAGAACACTAAAATTTCATCGAGCCATGATTTGGCTTTTAGAACACATTCGCTTGCAGAGGTTAAATGAGTCTTAAGAAAATGAATTACACACTTCAGATCAGTAGATATCTGATTGGGTGACTTGTCTATGAGCACAATACACAATAATAATGATTGAGGCAACGGTATTAGTTAATTTAGATATAGCCTTCGCGCTGAGCGCTCGACGAAAACGCGCGTAAAGCGAGTGCCACAAAGGAAGAAGATCGCGTGTGCAGGCCTTAATTATTTGCGCTCAACAAAATAGAGTGTCTCTTGCTCATACGTTAGGTAAGATTAATCTCTTTTGTTGACAGGCGCCACCCTCGGAAGGAACTGGTCGCGCCATTGTAACATTACGAAGGTACACTAACCCCTCTCACCGCTTGAGTAATGGTAAATGCTGTGATCACCGATTTCTCAACGTTGGCCGATGCCGCCCATGCGATGCTTACTTCAAACTGTGTGTGAGTCAGGCAGCTAGTGGGTATTCTTCAAACAGCTGTAATATTGGTAGAAGCCAGACCGGTGTGGTTGGTGACCATGACAACCATGTACTCAACATCAGAAGGGCGTTTTCTTTTGAATCTTTTCAGGTAAGTACGCATATAAAGCAAAATTATTTTATTCTTGTCATCTTTTCCGCGTCATTTAGTGCATAAGTGCATTTTTTAACTTTACTTTAGTACAGATAAAAGCGACAAAGGGACAATTTTTTTGGGCGTATTTGTACCTTTGGAAATGCGTTTAACGACTAAGAGAAAAGTTATGATGCATCAGGCCTCATTCTCCAGACTGTTCCAAAAACAAATAACTTTTTCAAAGTAGAAGGCACTTTTCTAAGTTAATATTCCTGCAACATGTATTGTGTATGAAATTACTCGGAAGTGACACTTGAGCTGATGCCAAATAAGCAACTTTACTGCTACAATAAAATCGCCAAGTCTTATGGGACCGTTCATTACTCATTGAATAGGGCTGGGTGGTGAGATTTGGGGGAATGCTATTTGGGAGTTGTATGACCCTTCAGCTTACTAACTATCCTCACATGACCCCCCTCGCATTAGGGAAATTTTTGAATGACCCCCCCCCCCCCCTTCTCAAATCATAGTCATGCCTGATATTTCAAATGTTAGCACGCTTAAAAAAAATTGTTTTTATAAACTGGCATATTTCACCTAACAAGATCACAATTCTCGACAGGTGCTTGCAATGAACGGAATATTTTCCAACGAAAAAGAGCGTTTTATTACAAATCTGAACACATCTCAAAAAAAATTTAAGAAAAAAAAAATTTTTATTCAATAACCAACCAACTCCGTTCTCCTTCATTTTTTTTTCCGGACCTCTTCTAAAGCCGGTTTTTTTCGCATTTCAACCCACAACTCTCCCCCTCTCCCTCCATGTTGAATGGTGGGAGGGGGGGAGAGGACTTCATTTCTTGTTATTTTTCGTGATGCCCAGTTTTCCCATTGAACAAAGGTAACCTTTTTTACAAAAAATGACCGAATCAGAGGAACGTCGATAGAATTGTATGGAGAAATTTCCCTATGAAATGGAGGAAAGAAATTAGATTCTTGTCTGGCAGTTATGTTGTTAATCAGTTTTTTCCAAAAAGGTGAAACCTCTAAAACTATCCCCGAGAATAAGTTTAAGATGTTAGTACCTAGAGGTACCTCAAAGTGGTGTAAGATGCACCCCTCTCCCCGTAACATTTTTTCTGTATGATGGTCCCCTCTCCCTTCCTCCCCAACCCTGTTCCACCCACGCAAGGGCGTATGTCATGTTTGTTCAAGCGAGATATGACGCAATCCTCAACCAATCAGAGCACATAAATCTCTATAATCACTGGAGCAATTATACTGAATACGAATAGTCACAAAGCTGAGCTGAGTGCTTGTATTATTTCTCAGGGAGCCATTACCGTTGGAGTGGAAGTCTGGGATAAGGACAAATTTACCAGCAATGATTACGTGGGCTCCCCGTCCATAACACTGTGGTCTGTCACTCCGGGGTTGTATTTGGATCCCTTAAAAAGAAGCTTGACGCTAAAGAGCAGATACGTCTCCATGAAGCTTGACTTGGAGTTGTACTGCGACAAAGACTACTATGGTCCCAGTTGTAGCGTGAATTGTGTCCCGCGGGATGACTCGAGTGGACATTACACCTGCGATAACCTGGGAAACAAGATTTGTCTTCAACGTTGGGAAGGGCCGTCTTGTAACAGATGCGAGAGCAATTGGTTTGGTCCCCGCTGTTCTGCAATTTGTGTTCCTCAGGATAATGATTTTCAAGGACATTACAAGTAAGTCAGGAGACAGATGTGCTTATTAAAGTGGTCGGGAATTAAGGGAATACAGTTTCAAAGAAACTGTGGTGCTACTTCGGTGGGGTAGCGAACGCTTTTCATTCAAATAATTTATTCTTTCCTTTCTCATTTCTATATATTCCCACCAATAGCTTAGCTCCACTTTTTACATATAAACACACACACAACCCACAATTCCTCCATTCGCTCTGACGAAGGGCTAACGCTCGAGAGGCCATCTTAGAAAACTCCTTACGGTAACAAATTTACATTATCAACTCAGTTAATAAACCCAAATTCTCTAGTCGGGAATGAGACAGCTTGTGGCAAAATTTCGAAAAATAGAGCGAGGGAGAAATTTAGGGGTTACACAAGGAGAACAAAAACTTTTGCCGTTTTACCCTCCCCTCCCCTCCCGGCCTTTTCGCTCTCCACACTCGATGGTGTGCCCCTCGGGATGACCCGCGAGATAGACATTTCAACTGCGATAGGCAGGGAGACAAAATCTGTCTTTCTTGTTGGTAAGGGCCATCTTGTAAACGATGCGTGAAAAACTGGTTTGGTACTGGCTGTTCTACATACTGTGTACCTCAAGACAGTTACGAGCTTGGACATTACAAGTAAGTTGTTCCATGTGCAGTTTGCACAAATGTGCGAGGTGTTTCAAGGCGTTTTTTTATTTTCCTTGTAAATGCTCATGTAGAAGAGATCCAAAGTCCAAAATAGCCAAGACGAAAAAATCAGCTACCTAAAAAGAAGTATAGCCACTGTTAGCGGTTGTTTGGGAAAACAGGTCAGTAGTATTGTTCCCAGTTTTATACATTACGCTTTTAGATACCAAAAAGTGCATTTACCTTTACAGATGCAGCCAATCAGATGGAACGAAACAATGCCTACCGTGGTGGTTTGGTAGCGACTGCAAGGCGCACTGCATTCCTCATGAAGATGATGACAACGGCCACTATAGCTGTGCACGTGACGGAAAAAAGACATGCCATGACGGATGGCACGGAGAGAACTGCACAGTGTTTTGCATTCCTCAAGATGATGACATACGAGGCCACTATACATGTGACGAGGAAGGCAGCAAAGTCTGTTTAAACGGGTATCGCTCTCCAGACTGCATGGACTGCCTCCTGGGTTGGTATGGCGCGGATTGTTCTTTATCCTGCTTGGCAAATGACACGTATGGCTTCCAGCAAGGCTACATCTATTGTTCTGACGATGGAGTCAAGCAATGCAAGAAGTGGTGGCATGGCCCAGAGTGTCTCCAGTATTGTGTCCCTCATGATGACAACGAACACGGGCATTACACGTGCGAGCCAAGAGATGGAAGTAAAGTGTGCAGACCTGGCTGGGAAGGGCTAAGCTGTCTTAATCGAAAAAAGAACTGAGCATGCAGTTTTGACAGATAATTCAGTAGATTACCATGTGGCATGAGCTTTTTGCAGGAGGTATTCTGCGGAATGACAATTTTTTTTTTATTTTATACTTAGAGATTATTACGCCGTATGTTTAAACGAGTAAGGGTATTGTTACGTGATTCTAGATGTGTTATTACGATTTCGTAACACCAGTATGTTGTTCTAGTTATTAAATTCAATAGCTAATTGAAACAAAAAACTTGAATGAAAACAACTGATAAAGAAGACAGGAAGCTAGTTTGTTGTGATAGCCAATAACTTATCCTTCGTAAATATAGTTTTATCTGTCAATTGCTGGCTTTCGTAAACAGTAGCCGGCAAGTGACAAAATGTGTCAAAAAACATATTTTGACCCAAAACAAAAAAGAAAAGCAAACACGTCCAAAGATAACCATTTACTTCCGCAGTTTGTTATCTTTCGTTATCGTTATTCATTTTAGTGTTATTGTAATCTAACCATGATGTAATAAAAACACATTTTTTTCAGACAACTTCCCTTTTATCTATTCCTCTTTTTATTACGTGTTGATAACCTTTGCGGTCTTAATTGGCTTAAGGGTGAAAAAGAAAAGATATCACGAGTGATACATGATGTAACTCATCCCAGTCACGAATTGTCAGCCATCAAATTATCTCTGTACTGCGAGTTTTCCTTTATTTCTCCACTTTCCACATTTGGTTAAAACTCTCTATCTCTACAGCCCGCGACGGAGGGACATAAGCTGAATGTCTGGAAACTAGGAACATTCGGCTCCAGCTGCGTGTTCCGGGAAAGAGGGGGTAGGAGAAATTTTCCTTTGAAATGGAGGAAAGAAATTAGATTCTTGTCTGGTAGTTATGTTGTTAATCAGTAATGTTCCAAAAAGGTGAAACCTATAAAACTATCCCCGAGAATATGTGTAAGATGTTACAACCTGGAGGTACCTCAAAGTGGTGTAAGATGCGCCCCTTGCTCCTAACATTTTTTCTGTTTGATGGTCCGCTCTCCCCTTCCTCCCCAACCCCGTTCAACCCACGCCAGGGCGTACGTCATGTTTGTTCAAGGGTAGTATTATCCAGAAGAATCTAGGCTTTTGGCCATAAGTCAAAAATTCGACATCTGATCACCTATAAAAAAGGCAGTTTCATGCTTCACGCTCTATACAGCATTGGGGTCCACTGTGAACGGATGTTAAAAAAATTCGGCTGAAACAGCAAAACACAAGTGAGAGTCTCACTACGCTTATATTGCCACTGGTACCATATAATTGTCGCCAATTTTGCGCGAAATTTCTATTTACGAAATGCTCCTCTGGTTTGTTGGCGCTGTGGCTGTGATGCTGACTTTCATGGTAAGTGCTTTTAACTATTTTGCTTCTGCTTAATTTGTGTCAAACATGAGCTCAGAGCGCTGGTGGCTAATCTATAAAGAACACCGCTAATGAGACTCGTCAAAATAAAAAAAATGAAGAATTCCTTCGTGGAAAGACGAGTGACGACATTTGCGACTAACGAGCAGGAAAATTATAACGTAATGTAGAAGGAAGTCTTGGAACACTAATGTTCCAGGGTAAACAAAGATCATACAAATGAGAGTAGTAAAAGAGAAAGACAAAGTTGACTAAAAAAATGGAAACGAGAATTCTAAAATTATTGCGAACGACAAACTTGAAAAGCTTTGACGCAGTCAGTTTAGAATTGAAAGCGTAACAGACACTTCCGGTCGAGTTGAAAAGTAATATTTTCTTCGTGAGCGCGGGAGGTTTTTCTATCATCACCGGAAATCCTATCATTTCTACGCGGCCTGAGCTGTGGGAGGAGACGAAATCGAGACTGTGTTGATCTAATCTTCGCTCGCCAAAGGAAATGTCGAGAAGTTCGTCAGATTATGAAAGTCTGTAGCAATTCCACTATAAATTCAATTTCTTTTCTCAGATCGCGTTCATAAATTATGCAGTTGTTGATTACATCCAGAGCTCTCATTATTTCGGTGTTGATCCATCAATCTATTCGGAGAGTCTCGCAGAACACTTACATTTAAACGAACCATGAAAGAGGAATTTTCCTTCGTCAAAATTCAACCAGGTTGAATGTGGATCGCAGATAAGATATCACAGTATTTTTAGCCAGGCGTGTTCAAACTGTACTGCACAAGTCTTCCATACGTGTCATGTTTCGCATGAATCGTTTCACTAACGACAAAAGGGCCTTTTATTCGATTTTGGCTGAGTTCAGTGAGTTGAAAACAGAATTAAGAATGTGCATATCATGTCGCACATACACAAAATGATTAGTGGCAAGAAGAAGGGGCAAGTTGGAGAGAGACATTGCCGAGTCAAGGATGGTATGATGGTTCACACCAGATCGCAAAATCTCGAAAATATGAATTCAGTATAATTATTTCCTCCTGATAAACTATTTATTATCTCTTGCAGTTAGAAGTCTCCAGGCTTAACTGGAGTAACCAACAAAATATTATTTGTTTGACCTTACACTTAACGGGCGCGTTGGTACTCCAAAGTTAATTCACGGAGTATTATTACAAGCCGCTCATAAGACATATTTTAGATTTTAAAAACCAATGCAAATCATTGTAAACTAACTCTCTTCATACTCGAAACAAGCTAGCAGCAGTACACATTTTGTATTATGGCGGCTTAATGTTTTTCTTCTGAATGTTTTCTAAGAAGATTACCCACATCGTTTAATTGTTGATAAACAATTATCAAAGCAGTGTTATGATTTCGAAATAATCATAAGTCGAGGCAAGTTCTACCATCCTCGGCTGATAACACTTATCTTGAGCCAAATCTAACCATTGATTTCTTGAAGTTTTTTAGAAAATAACAAAAAGGTTCGGTCGGTTAGGACACAAATTATTATTATTGACAAGAAAAAGATCTCAATATACAAAACTGTGATTTGGCTTTTGGCACACAGTCACTTGCAGAGGTTAAATGAGTCTTGAGAAAAATGAATTACACACTTCAGATCTCTAGATATCTGCCGGATTGGGTGGTTTACATCGAGCTACGAGTGTGTCTATGAGCACAATACACAATAATAATGATTGAGGCAACGGTATTAGTTAATTTAGATATAGCCTTCGTGCTGAGCGCTCGACGAAAACGCGCGTAAGGCGCGTGCTAGAAAGGGAAAAGACAGGAAAACGCGTGTATGACCACTAGATCGCGTGTACAGGCCTTAATTATTTGCGCTCAATAAAATCGAGTGTCTCCTGCTCTTACTTTAGGCAAGATTAATCTCTTTTGTTGACAGGCGCCACCCTCGGAAGGAACTGGTCGCGCCATTGTAACATTACGAAGGTACACTAACCCCTCTCACCGCTTGAGCAATGGCAAATGCTGTGATCACCGATTTCTCAACGTTGGCCGATGCCGCCCATGTGATGCTTACTTCAAACTATGTGTGAGTCAGGCAGTCAGTGGGTCTTCTTCAAACAGCTGTAATATTGGTAGAAGCCAGACCGGTGTGGTTGGTGACCATGACAACCATGTACTCAACATCAGAAGGGCGTTTTCTTTTGAATCTTTTAAGGTAAGTACGCATATAAAGAAAAATTATTTTATTCTTGTTATCTCTTCCGCGTCAGCTAGTGCATAAGACCAACATTTCTTAACTTCACTTAAGTATAGATAAAAGCAACAAAGGGACAGTTTACTGGGTGTATTTGTACTTTTGGAAACGCTTTAAACGACCAAGAGAAACGTTATGATGCATCAGGCCTCATTCTCCAGACTGTTCCAAAAATAGATAACTTTTTCAAAGTAGAAGGCACTTTTCTAAATCAATATTCCTACAACGTGTATTGTATATGAAATCACTCGAAGTGACACTTGAGCTGATGCCAAATAAGCAACTTTACTGCTACATCGCCGAGTCTTATGGGACCGTTCATTACTCATTGAGTAGGGCTGGGTGGTTGGATTTGGGGGAATGCTATTTGGGAATTGTATGACCCTTCAGCTTATTAACTACCCTCACATGACCCCCCTCGCATTAGGGAACTTTCTGATTGCCCCCCCCCCCCCTCCCTTCTCAAATCATAGTCACGCCTGATATTTCAAAGGTTAGTACGCTTAAAAAAACTATTTTTATAAACTGACATATTTCACCTAACAAGATGATGCAATTCTCGATAGCTGCTTGCATTGAACGGAATATTTTCCAGTGAAAAAGAACTTTTCATTACAAATCTGAACACATCTCAATATAATTAAAAGTCAATTTCAAATTCATCAATTTGTCGCGTTTATCACTTCCTCTGTAACACTAACAAAACACGAGACTGCAATCTTAAAATTTTAGCGCTCCTGCCATCGTGCGAGGTGATCATAACGAGATATGACGCAATCCTCGACCAATCAGAGCGCGTGAATCTCTATAGTCACCGGAGCTAATATACTGAATACGAATAGTCACAAAGCTGAACTAAGTGATTGTATTATTTCTCAGGGATCTATTACCGTTGGGGTGGAAGTCTGGGATAAGGACAAATTTACCAGCAATGATTACGTTGGCTGCCCGTCCATAACGCTGTGGTCTGTCACTCCGGGGTTGTATTTGGATCCCTTAAGAAGAAGCTTGACGCTAAAGAGCAGATACGTCACCATGAAGCTCGACTTGGAGTTGTACTGCGACAAAGACTACTATGGTCCCAGTTGTAGCGTGAATTGTGTCCCGCGGGATGACTCGAGTGGACATTACACCTGCGATAACCTAGGAAACAAGATTTGTCTTCAACATTGGGAAGGGCCGTCTTGTAAAAGATGCGAGAGAAATTGGTTTGGTCCTCGCTGTTCTGCAAACTGTGTTCCTCAGGATAATGATTTTCAAGGACATTACAAGTAAGTCAGGAGACAGATGTGCTTATTAAAGTGGTCGGGAATTTAGGGGGTACGGTTTTAAAGGAACTGTGGTGCTACGTCGGTGGGGGAGCCAACGCTTTCCATTCAAATAATTTACTCTTACCTTTCTCGTTACTATATTCCCAAAAATAGCGTAGCTCCTTTTTTTTACAGATAAACTCACACACAACCCACAATTCCTCCATTCGCACTGACGAAGGGCTAACGCTCGGAACGTCAACTTAGAAACTCTTTACGGTGACTATTTTACATAATCAACTCAATTAATAAAACCAAATTATATAGTCGGAAATGAGACAGCTTGTGGCAAAATTTCGAAAAATAGAGCGAGTGGAAATAAAGGAGAACAAAAACCTTTGCCGTTATACCCTCCCCCCCTCCCCGCCTTTTTGTTCTCCTCTTTTCGCTGAGAATCTGTTTGTAATCGAAGCTGAGAAAGAAAGGAACATAGATTATGTAAATTTACAAAAGCAGCCTTCAGAAAGAATCCAATAGGAATTTGGGGAAGGATTTCTGTATCACAAGGAATTTTTCATATATTGCGGGCCCTATTGCTATCCTTTAATAATAACGTAAATTAGCTTTTATACATGTCTTTGACAACATGTATAAAAAGAAAATAGTTTTTTCTCAAGAGGCAGGGGCACTAAAGAATATCATGAAAAAGATCTATGCAGTCAGGAGATGATCCCATGTAAATATTTTAGAGAAGTTGAAATTATAGATAAAACTTTTCCTTTCTTGAATCACAGATGCAGGCCGTTGGATGGTAAGAAAGAGTGCCTACCATCGTGGTTTGGTTCTGACTGTCGCACACAATGCATCCCTCGTGATGACGACGGCGGACATTACAGTTGTGCACAAGACGGAAGTAAAACGTGTCTGCCTGGGTGGTATGGCGAGAACTGCACAGTGTTCTGTGTTCCTCAAAATGATGAGAAACTCGGAAATTACACTTGTGACGATGAAGGCAATATGGTGTGCTTGGACGGTGTCAGTCGCCTCGACTCTAACTGCTCTTGGACTTGTTTGGTCAATGAAGCCCCAGAAACCTACAACTGTACAGAAAAAGGCTACAAAATCTGCCATCCTTCGTGGTTTGGGTCCGACTGTGCCACTTACTGCGAGCCCCACAACGATGAAAAGAACGGGTATTACACTTGCAACGTGCGTGACGGAAGTAAAGTGTGCTTGGACGGCTGGGAAGGACGTGACTGCCGTGAAAGAAGCGTGAAATCATTATTTACAATTGAGTAACGATGGGCTTTAGTGTGACTGTATGTCACCCGTTAGTACATCTTCAATGGCGCTGCGACACTTTATAAACAAGACCTAGATGGACGAATGTTTACGGTTCCTTCGACAGAAAATAGTCAGTAATCACTGAATGATTATAGAAAATAGGACTAAATGGACACATCGAGCTCCGCTTTTCATTTTTTATGACTTGAACAATTTTTTTATAAGTAATAGCTCCTGCCAAGTACTGCAAACCAAGTAAAAATTAAAATTCGCTTTTTATGATGAAAGTATTTGAAGCTGTCTTGTACATTACCATCAACGTCTAATTTAATATGCATCACCGCAACAGACTGGACTTGGGGTGACCAAAAGGGGAAATGTTTTGGTTTCGAAATTCAATGTTATGGTTTCTTGCCTTTTGAACCATGTTATTTGACCATCCCATAATTTTCTTTTAAGTCATTCATTTCTAGGTACTGTCTATACAACACAACGAAACTCCTTCAAATCAAATCGACAATTATGAATTATCATTAATAGCAGATACATGCGCTTTTATTTTCATTTCAAGAAAGATTTAATGGCATGGTACAAATGCTTCGTTATCTTTAAATACAGCTGCTTTTAACTTTCTTGTTTTGATTGTACCCTGTTCGAAAAATATGAAAAATGGGCATTTAATGCTACAACATGATTTACCAGTGTTGGTTCGTCAGTTAGAACTATCAAGTCGACTAAGACGTTCTCGCAAAAACATTGAATTTCGTAGTTCATCGTTTGAATTTTAGCGAAGCTAAAATTGAACCCCGAAAGAAAAAAAGTTTTACGGTCGCAATCGTCATGGGAACAATTGTCCATTCAGGAAAAGAACTGAGAGATTACGTGTTCACAGTAGGTTTGGTTTTGACCAGTATGCATTACGCGCGGCGTTGGTCTTTGGCGTACAAAATACAAACCTCGCTCTCGTGAAAGCCATAACAAAAAAAAAACAGAGGCGTACAATGTCACATGCGCCTCTCAAGAGCCTCCAGTTTGCAGAAATTCGAATATTTCTTTCCTTTAAAAACTTCTGTACCTCTGGAACTTTCATATTTGTGAAGAAGGCATCATGCGCCAACGCCTTGTCCCCAAGCCTCGACTTGATGCAATTATTTAATTAGTTACCAGACTTTCTCACACAAACAATTAGCTTAATGAATCTTATTTGCCAGAGCAACGGGGGCTTCTTTCCGTTTCACTTCCTTGTCAAAAAATGGAGAGCGACCAGGTAAAGGTCCTGAAGGAAAAAGCCAAAGAAACGATCGATATCTATTCTCCTGAATTATATGAACTGAACAAAAGTGTATGGGAAAACCCAGAGCTTGGTCTTCAGGAGAGATTTGCTCACGATCAGCTGACAGAATTCTTGGCGGATCAAGGCTTCGATGTAATTCCTCATTACACTTTGGATACGGCTTTTCGGGCGGAATGCGGAGAGGATGGAGGTCTTACAATTGGACTGATTAGTGAATATGATGCTTTACCGGAAGTAGGACACGCTTGTGGACATAATCTGATCGCTGAATCGGGAGTAGCAGCGGCTTTAGGCATGTTTATGTTGTTCATTTGCTTGACAAACTTCTACCTGCCTAATAAAGCGATCCATATTTATCGGACACGTATCAACCTGTTTTCTCGTCTATTATCTATACTAGCCTACACTATGTAATGCATTACGTATACATTTTAAAACAGTCTCACATCGCTATATAAAAACATCACTTAAAAGAGTAAATTATGTTTCCAAATGCGTCATGGGGATTCGGATGTCTTTTACGCTGAGATCAACAAGGGGGGTCTAGAAACTGAAATAGAATCTCTAAAAGCTGATGGAACTGCCTAGAGTTCAATTTGAAATTAAAGAAATATTGTGTATGCAATAGCTGCTATACTGTGCAGACTAGATAATTCCTAAATATAGATAAAGTGAGACATCTGGCGTGTGCAAACTCAATGATGTTTTATATTGGTCCTAAATTGTTCATCCAGTTTGAAACTCCTTGAACTGGTTTTATTTCTTAGGTCTCAAGATTGCTTTGAATGCTATTAATCAGAAACCCAAAGTCAAAATAGTTCTCCTTGGAACTCCTGCTAAGGAAACAACAGGTGGCAAGATT